TAGGAGAACCTACCATGATCCAGTCTTTTCAGGAGAGCAGAAGGAAAAGAGCCTTAAATAAACTCATCCTCAAAATAAGGAATCACAGATAGAGAAAACAGGCGTCCATACGTAAAATGGGTCCACATGGTCCTTTGTATGATTACGTGAGATGTGCGTGAAGTGCTTTTAATAACTAAAATATGCTGTTAGTGGAAGGAGTTATTTTGCTACAGGCTATTTTAAAGGAAGCTGGGTATGTCTGTTTTTCATCTTGGGGATAACAGACAGGATTTTGTGAAATGTTTTGTAAAACACTGTACAAATAAATTAGGTCCATGAATCATAAACTATGTGATTTGCCAATTTTACTTTAATAAGTAAAATTATTTCCAATAAAAAGCATCAGAGATTTTTCAAACACTCAGACTTTGTAAATACGTCTTCACAGAGTTCAAAAACACACTGCTGAACCAAAAGATCTTTGCAAAGGGGTTTATCTCATTTATTAAAAACCAAAGTCAAATGCAGTCAGGACGGGATACACAGGGACTTAACACAAATATTAATATTCTTTTTCTTAAGCTACGTGTACTCAGGGGTTCATTTCCTGTCCATCAGCGCTATATTTGAAAACTGAAAACAGATCTTACCTCCTGAATAAGTCTCAGTATTAACTCCCTACATCCATGTTGTTTTTACATGACCTAGTATACATCTTACAACCCATTTACAGTTTGAACTATTCACTGTGGTTTAATTTTTCTGTTGTTAAATGTATGATACATTGAAAATCTATAATCTATATGGACAGTTTTAAAGAAGAATGGTAAAATGAATTTGAGTACCTAAATTAGTTCCTTCTACCCACACCCTTCTCCTCTCTCAAAAAAACTTTATAATTCTCTCATCACAGCTCAGGAAGACATTATTACATCCATGCTGATATTACTTTTAACACAAAAAAGAGGCAGTTTAATATAGTGGTTAAGAACATGAACTCTGGAGCCAAATAACCTAGGTTCAAAATCCCAGCTCTAGCTCATACAAAACACATGACCTTGGGCAGGTTTACTTAACTTTTCGTACCCTGGTTACTCATTTGTAAAATATGGAACAAACGGTATTCATCCCCTAGGGTTATCGGGAAGATTAAATGAAGTACTTAGAACACACCTGATACACAGTAAGTATAATGTGTGAGCTACTGATGTTAAAATCAAGAAGGTAAAACAAACCTAAGCATACTGAAACTTGTAAAGTGGATTCTTTTTAAGAGTATTATTCTTCTTGGTAAAATCTACTTCAGTATTCTTACTGATTCTCTATTTTCAACCTTTCTCATTTACATTCCAGCTAGTCCTAAGCAATCTGCTTCTAATTCTACACGGATAAAACTATACTTCTAATACTATCATGACTCTTTTCCCATATTATCCAACACCTGAGGTTTGTGAAAATATCTTATGTTCCCCACTAAACTTTAAGAAGCATGAGGGTATGGGTCATATCTTGTAAAAACATTCTTCTATCTATGGTAGCATGCATATAGTATATGCTCATTAATTAAATAAATGGATTTTAATGGCTCTATTTCAATTGGAGTCAAATGCATAAACATCAGTAACCCAGGGGCTCATTTAGATTCATGTATTCCTGGTGCTGAAATGTTATTTTAATCCCAATCCATAAGTTGAGTGCTGTACTTCATACCAGAAAAGAACGATAAATGTGTATAAATTATGCTGACCTGCATACACTTGAGTAATAGGTGGACAATATACGGTATTTCTCAATGCTGCAGGATAGTCGATTCCATAAGTGTGTGTTTTTCCTAACTATGGACCCAACACCACAACCTTTTGAGTAGTAAATCTCCTGACACTAGATCTATGCCCATTTTAACCTTAAAAATACTAATTACTTTCTCTTAATTTCCTTTTTCCAAGAAGCCCAAGAACAGTCTCAGAAAGGACACTGAAAAGTAAGTGTAGATTCTGCACTCGGTAGTGCAGTATTGTGGCTGCGGTCCACGTGCAGAAATCCTGTGTGTTTACAGGTGTGAGACGGTGTCAAGAACACATGACAGCAGTCTCCAGATACTTCAAGGGCTGCCATGCAGAAGGGAGCAAAGACTTAATCTCTCACGGTCCAGAGGGCAGGACAAGTTGTAAGAAGCAGATTTCTGATATAACAAAGAACCTGCTGAAAATTTGAGCTATCTAAAATTGGAAAAGAGAATCATGTGAGGAGTGAATACTGTAGCACTAAAAATGTTTGTGAGCAGAAGACTTGTTTTCAGGAATGATGCAGAAAAGACTTGAGCAATTTGTAGACTTAGACTACATGATCACAAACGTCCCCTTCAATGAAAACATTCCTGGATTTTCTGAATACTTAATCCCAAGTGACAGTTTGATGCACAATACTAACATGCTACAGGAGTATGCTTATCTACCTGATCTTACAGAGTCTATGCGGCCTACAGGAACATCGTCCCTTCATACAGAGCAACTAACATTTTGGAAGGGGGAAGGGTCTATTCCTAATTGTTTGACTTGGCAATCCAACTTTCTCTTACGAATAGAGCTAAACTAAGCTCAATTTTAAAACTTCTAAAATTTAAAAATTTTAAATTTTAAACTAAGCTCAATAAAATTTTATTTTAATAATTTGGCATCACCCCTTGAGACAACTAGAATTCCATCATCCCCGATCCCCAACCCACAAAGTGAAGGAGAGGAAAACTTTAACAGCATTGGTTTCATTATTTTGTAATCATGTCTCAACTTCAGAAAATTTAAAAAAATGAGGAATGACAGAAAATGGATAACTGGAATCTAATAACTCATCTACTACACCAGACGTCCTATCAGAACTACTACTTGGGTGGTATAATTAACTTGGTTCATATTTGTTATACTCTTCGAGGTACTAGGAAAAAACATCATGACTATAAAGCAAGTAGAATATTTTTCAAAAGGAAGCAAAAAATACAAATAATCTAGAACATAAATCCTAAAAGTGCATGGAGATTCATTATACTCTTGTGCATGTTTGAAATTTCCTCAGTAAAAACTTCAAAAGAGCCCACATAAAAAACAAAAATTCAACTCTCAGTTAACATTGACATAATATTGGTATAATTTTTAAGATAGGAAAGAAAAGGTAATGATTCAGCATCTTCTTAACTTTACCCAAATTCACCTAGACTCAAATCTGAAAATATTTAACTAGTAGTTAATACCTTACATAAACTCTAAATTTCAGAGAAAAGTTCTTAAGCACTATTTAGAAGCAGTTTCATTACCAAAACTGAGTAACACTTCATTGGAACTTTGGATTGAAAAACGTTATCATGTAGCAAGTTTTCTTCTTCTTTTAATCCAAGATGCATAGTGGTCTTATATTAGACTTCACAATTATGCTCCCAGTCCGTTGTAAAATTAATTGTTTTGATACTTTAGAATTGCTTTTACCAAATAAAGTTATTTTGTTTCTTCTGTATTTCTTAGGATTTTCAAAGCCTAGAAAAAGTTATTTATCTTATTTCTGTTTAACACCTAAGACTTCCGTAATAGTGAGGAAAGATGCAGTATTAGTGTAGCATTAGGCTAGGAGTCAAACGCTAAGATTCGAGCCCTGGCTCTCAACTTATTTTACCTTAAACATGTCACTTAAGCCTTCTGGGTCATGGTGCTCATGTATAAAATAACTCAGACTAGATGATTTCAAAGACTCCGTCTAGTTCCAAAGTTCTACAGTATTATGACTTTCACAGTGAGTACACTCCTCCAATGACAGGTTCTATATCCTTATGCTAGCTATCACGATATACTACTGTGGATGAACCCACACAAAATGTGCAAACTCAGGAATGTTTAAACAAATGTGATAGAAACAAAATACTGGCTTGAAATGTGGGTTAAATATCAAGAGTATTTATTTTGTTGTCTGGAAAGCACCGACACTATATGCTGGAAATAAAGCTCTGAAAAGTTGTAAAGTATTCAAACTTCAACCAAGACAACCAACTGACTCTTGAACAGAAAGAAAAATCTCTGAATAGTAATTTCTTAACACCCAATGTCTATGGCACCCATTCTCCCACCCTGCATTTATGTGTCAGAGGAAGATGTTATTTTTATGGCATATTAAAATCAAGACTATGGAGTAGAAGGTACTCTTTGTTAAATCAGTACAGGTTCAATTAAGCACTTGAGAAACTACCTTTCTAGTTAATAATAAACTAATGTGATTTAGGTAGAAGCTTAAATGTTTTTGTTTCAATGTTTGTATTGCATATGTAAAACACACAGTTAATTCCCTAACTCTCACACCACTAAATTCACATAAATGGTGTTATTGTACTATTAGTATTTCAACAGCCTCACTTTATGAAGTATAAAACTAAGCTAATCCAAGTGAAAAGATAAATTTCTTTTGTAGGATGGAGTAATTTCATAGGCCTTAGTTTATAATTAGGAAATCAATAACTCAAACAAGGAATCTCTCCAAAATTTAATAACAGGTGGGCCATGTAGTACAAATGTGGCATACTAAAAAAACCACCTGCTTTCAGAAACAGCAATGTAAGTGCAGCTATTGATACCTCAATTAATTCATACTGTAAGAGGACTGTCAGGAGAATGTGCATTATCCAACTAAAACTATAGCGTCAGTATGCTGGAGAAAGCTGTCCTGGGTACAAGACAGGAAAAGGAACAGAGCCCTCAATGATGCACACAGACAAGCAAGGAACTGAGGGCAAAAGGGAGAAGAAAGGGAACGCTTGTATTTAATTTACAGCTTAAAGAATTCAAAGATAATATTAGTAGTAAAAATATACAAAATGATTTTGAACCTGAGAGAGCTCAAGTTTCTTAAAAGAGCCTGACTAAGATGATGTATATGTAAAAAAACTGAATGGAGATGTAAGCTGGTATTGTGGTATTGTGATGATTTAACCACAAATGCCTTCCCTATTTAAATATTCCAATCAGTACTGTTAGTACACGTACCTCGGAGAATTCTTTCCTCATGGCAACGAAGAAAGTCCCAGATTCTAACAGTGCCGTCATCAGAGCATGTAGCAAATTTATTATCCGTGGGTGAGAAACTGTTACATGAAGACACACAGCAGGGGAAAGAAGTCAGCATTTAACAGATTATCTGTGCTTCTCAGACAGGGAAAAACAAAAACACTGTGCTGCGTTATAAACAGGAGAGGGAAGTATCCAACAGTGCAGAAGCCCTTGAAGAAAACGCTGTCAGCTAACAAACGCATCTCATCAAAAGAAGAATTCAACAGAGTAGTTGCTTGAGTTTTCAATCATCAATATTCAGAGAACTTTACGAGTGTATCATTAGTACTAATGATCCCCACACTCCCCACCGTACAGTATTTCCTATCGTACCAACAGAAAACATGGAGCTGATTTAAGTATAGAAAACTAAGTAAATTCTATTTTTGCAACAATATTCCTGTGAACAGTCTTTTAAATCAAATAGGAATACTGCTTAAAAGATTAGCATCAGCTTCTGCCTCAGACTCTTCACAAAATGGTAAGTTGAAAAAATTTAGGCAGGCTATTTAAAGACTGGTTGCCAAACATCCCTACATATGATGTTTCTCATTTATTTAAAAGGTCTGTGAAAACTTTCACACCTTCTCCCCGGCAAGCTATCCCATGAATGAAGCACCTTTTGAGGAAAACCTAAACATAGGGACATTCAGACTGTGTTTAAAGCCAAAGGATCTGCCACAAAGGAGGGAGCCATTTTCCCCTCCCTCTAGTGAAAGACCATCAAGTTTCTCAGCTGACTCTAAGAACTCCCTTGAACTTTTGAATCCCATGACTACGAAAGCACCAACTGTGAAAACTCAATGTATGGGTAGGACACTAAGTCAAAGTCTTTGAAGAAGCATGTTTATCCAACAATTTTTGTTAAGATTCTGAAAGTAGAAACAAGTGACTGCAGTGGATGATGTTTCTATAAAGACCACCTCCTCCCACACGTGGGTGGCACAACCATAAAGAACGCTGCTTAGCTTTATTCTGAGGCTGCAGCAATTCTTCAGGCTTGTTTTTGAAGCTTTTTTCCCCAGTTTAACTAATGTATCTCATTGATATGTAAAAATATACAACTCACTGAAAATATTTTAAAGTCCAATTATTACACATTTGCATAACTGATGTTGTCAACAGTGAATCAGAAGAAGAGTCCTAGAGTCTTCTTGACAACGGTCTCCTTACAGTTTCAAAGCTTGAGGAAGCCATTCATTAATCCATTAATGTTTGCCACATCCCGAGTTACTTGTGAGAGTTTTAGTCCTACTATGCTTTCCTTTTGAAGTCATGGCATAACCAAGCCAACCAGGTCTTCACTTAAGCCTCTTTTTCTTGTATTTTGTGTGAACTCTGAAGGTGTTTTCTGTAGGCTTTAGATTTTATTCAGTTGTATAATTAAAGACTGAATTCTTTATTTGGAATGAAATATTCTTGTCTTACACAGTAGGTAATAAAAAGGAATAACGTATACACATTATTAACCATAAATGAAAAGAGAAAACCAGTGCAAAATGCGGCAGACAATACATCTCTAACATATTGCAAAGGCTGATACCACGACAACACTACTTCAGAAAGGTGCCAGCAAAATGGTGAATGTGAGAAAACAAAGAAAAATATTGTGTTTATAGGGTGCAGAAAGTTTCCCAGAATCTGACAGAGCCCATGCATCTCTGCACCCAGAATACACTCAGAGAATAATTTAACCATGACAATAGGGACTACAGAAAATGGTATATTGTGTATAAACCTGGCCTCTCTAATCGCCTCCTTATGTGCCTGGAACATCTTGACGTTGTTCATGTTCGACTGCCAATATTTCACATATCCTCCGTGGTCTGCTGTCAACATCCACATGTCATTATGTGACCAAGTCATGGCCCTCACTGGACTATCGTGAGCCTGTGAAAACATAAAACATTTGTAAACATTATATAGAAGATGAAAGGCTTTACAAGAGCATGTATTAACTCACAGCCATTTGTCCAATTGTAAGTTTAAAATGCGAATAAAATGCCTATATCACAAGTTCTTTACAATACCACAAGATGATGCTACCACCTGATGATTACTATTACCTGTAATATTGTTTCAAAATTGAAAGTGAGTCCATTCCACAAGGTGAACTCTCCACTAGAAGCTCCAGTAACCAACCGTCTTCCTTCTGGAGTCCACTGGGGAAGGAAAAAACACAGGTTATACAAGGTCACAAATCCTCAACCTTAACTACTTTTAAAACACTCAGAAAGTCTTTATTTATAAAAGATCCAATACTCAACATTAAATAGATGACACTGACTTTCACTTAAGTGTAGCTTAGATCTACAAGCAAGTACTTTGGCAGAAAAGAACTTATATTAACACAGTGCAGGGAAAGCTCTAACATTTTATTTTAGCTCATTAACTAAATTAAAAACAGTAAGTGCAGTGACTCCCTGGTTAGGTTATATACACCTAAAGACTCTAAAGAGCATTCCAAAACAAAATATGCAAAGACCTCATTTTCCTATGATACATGGCAGACTAACAAATAAGATGCTCAGTCACCAGAAAAACTCAAAGACTGAATGAAGGATTTGGCTTATTGTAACAGCTAGTGGGCCAACTGAAGCAGAAAAGTTACTGTGTTTTATGAAAAAACAGTGTAACAGTAAGTACCAATTTAAGGACATCAAGGCTATCAAACTTTTCCTGGCAACTAAATCTAATAAAAAAAACTTTTTAAAGCTCTCCTCCACTCACAGTATCAAGCAGTGACAAGTCTTATCCCGATCTCCTCTTAACAAAATGTAATACAAGAGTCATGACTAACACTACACCAAAATTTTAACATCACAATTTGCATACTGAAAGGAATCTGCGACATAAGATTATCAACTCAAAACACAACATACTTTTTCCTTACTTTTTATTTTCAAGTTTCTATGACAGATTATATGCTCATTTTCCTTACAAGATGTAAATATGTGAAATGTCAATATAACAATCCTATTTTTCAAAATAAAAATTGTGAAACAGTTGAGAAATACAGGTGTGTTTATAGGAACATCAGTATGACATACATAAAATGGAGACTATTTGGTAAATCACACAGATATATATGACAATCCAGCTTTTTACTGCTTACCTGCAGATCATGATTTTTATTATTATGAATAGAATCCTCCTACTTTCCTAGTTTCTGTTATCTGCTATGGATCCCAACCCAGTAAATACTTCAGGCAACCAAACTATAGACATGGGACCCACAGTCTTCACATCTTAACACCTTGTAATTTGGACCATGCCTCTACTATGTGCAAAATTTCTCCTAATACCTTATATTTTGACCCCCAAGTGAGATATTTACCCATCTAACAAGATACAGGATATAGAATGCTCAGATTTTATTCATTTCAAAAAGGTTTTCTGTGTTACGCTAAGAAGATATTAAATCAAGTGCACATCATATTCCTCTACCAAATTCGCAGGCAAACAAAATCATACTACATACTGGTTAGCTCTACTGAGACAAAAGCCATTGAAATAAGCGTTCCCTTCCTGATGTTTCTACTGCTTTAGGCCTCTGAAGCAAACAGGAGACCTAAGACTGACTGCAACATTTTTATGGCGCTCAAGCCAGCATCTCTTCCAGCCCCTTTTGGTTCTCTCTGCTGTGTCTGCCACAATGTTTGCCATGACTGTCTTTTCTCTGTTCCACATTTTATTTTCAATTCTTAATTGCTCAATTTTGGCTATTAACTATCCTACATTTCTGGACTCAATATACTGCTAGCCAACAAGTACATTCATACTTAGCAAATCACAAAGAAAAGGATTATACTATTATCTATAGGAATATTAACTGATGCCTGGGACACAGAGCTGGGAAAACTTTATTTCAAATTCCTTCAAATTTTAATGTTTTGAACCATGTCAGTGTACTATTTACTTAAAAATTGTCTTTTAAAAATTCCAGCGAAAACATATTCTGTACCTATTATGTACCTTCACGGAGCTGACAATTATGATCTACCATTGGTCTTCAGCTCTTCTCAGGTGTTTTCCTTCCTAGTAACACCTAAGAGTCTTTACTCACATTGAGATGCTGCTTTCTAAACAGCAGCAAAAGCATTCCTATTCAAGAACAAGTCTGAGACCTGCTGTCATATATATCCAGGGCCAGCTCAGAGGGAACTCTACGGAAATTGGAACATGAAGAAAACAATCCAAAAGTACTATCTTACTAAATGTGGATATACTAGATAAATGATTGATTATTCCAAAATAAAATTATTAGCACTACACTGATTTTTTTATCCCAGACATATATTTAAAATGTTTAACTTTCTTTGTCCTATTAAGTAAGTATACTTGCAGACTAACTCAGGCTTAATTTTTCCAAAAATTATACAACAGAATACTTACCCTAACAACAAATACTGGACATTTGACTTTATTTGTTGATGTTCGAACAAATTTCGTTGTTACTGCATTCATAGGATTATTCAACATCCCTATAGGTGGGACCAGCTACAAAAAAAGAAAATTGGGTTTTAAGAGCTCCTGATTATGCAGGGCATAAACCAGGGACATGGCACAGTAACCATTTCAACATTTAAAGACAAATTCAGGACTATGAAGGACTTTCAAACAACTATTATAATAGGTTATAGTCTATATTAATTAAATGAAGAAAACTGAGATACAGGAAAGTTAAATGCCCACTATTGCTAAGCAAACAACAAAATCAAGTACTAGATTTCCCTAATTACTTCTCAAAATAACACAATTAAATATGTTCACAATAATCCAAATTTAAAATTAACTTTCCTATTACACAGACCTCGAGGCAGTGCAGTCTTTTGTTGGACACTGCTTTAAGCCTCAAATCAAAAGTTCATCCATCACTAGATTAAAAGGAATATTTAAATTGAAATAAAAAAATAACTGTTGGGGCCGGCCCAGTGGCACAGTGGTTAAGTTCACATGCTCCACTTTGGCGGCCCGGGTTTCAAACGCTGGTTCGGATCCTGGGTCCAGACCTAGCACCACTTGGCACGCCATGCTGTGGCAGGTGTCCCACGTACAAAGTACAGGAAGATGGGCACAGTTGTTAGCTCAGGGCCAGTCTTCCTCAGCAAAAAGAGGAGGATTTGTGGCAGATGTTAGCTCAGGACTAATCTTCCTCAAAAAACAAATAGTAATAACAACCCATGGTTTACACAGATATGTTATATTATCCCTTTAGGAATGTTTTATTTTAAATTATAAAAATGTAAAAGGAAAAGTCCATGTTTAAATTCGAGATCACATATTTTTAGGTTTAAAGGCCAAGCAAAGAGGTTTTTATTAAGCTAGTATGACATATCTTATACTTACATCATTATAGTAACCTGCATCAGGCTGAATTGCTCGCATATCTCTCTGGTCTCTTTGCCATATTCTATTCTGTTAAAAATTTAATAATTAATTAATATATGGTCTAATTATACTCAACTTGAGACCAAAGTAATTACTAACAAAATGTAAGCTTTTATTAAATGAGAAGAAAACAGGATTAAAACTTTTTCATTATGTTCTAAAACACAGATAATAGTGGATATCTTAGAGATTTCCCCTTATCTTACTGACATTGCTTAGACTTTCTCTCCTCTCTTTACACACGTTATCCCTAACCGATCATCCAAGACGCTATTGACCCCAAAACATTCTCACTGACCATACCGCAATAAAAAGGAAAAGGATAAGGGGTAGGCAGACATCCCCACTTCCTTCAAAGTCCTCAGCACAAAACAATTCTGCATATCTTGCCCTTGGTTTTCGTAATTCCTCTCAAACTCTCCTAATCTAGTTTTCCAACTAAAATACCTGGGAAAGTCTAAATCTATCTTCACATCTAAATCAATCTTTTTCTCGTATGTGCCTGCAACATACTAACTATGCCCAATATGAAAACAGGTCTTTAAAAACAAGTCTCAAGCAATGAAAAGCAGACAAATTTTCTTTGTAGGACGGAAGAGCAGACCAAAACCCAATTAAAATAGAAGGGGCTAGTAATCAAAGCAGGTCACAGAGGCTAATTCCTAGGATAAAACAAGAAAACAAAGACTTCAAAAGGGGAAAAATGTGTGGGGCCAGCCTGGTGGTGCAGCGGTTAAGTTCACACATTCTGCTTTGGCGGCCCGGGATTCACCGGTTCAGATCCCGGGTGAAGCCACAGCACCACTTGGCCAGCCATGCTGTGGTAGGCGTCTCACATATAAAGCAGAGGAAAATGGGCACGGATGTGAGCTCAGGGCCAGTCTTCTTCAGCAATAAGAAGAGGATTGGCAGATGTTAGCTCAGGGCTAATCTTCCTCAAAAAAAAAAAAAAAGGGAGAAATGTCGAGCTGACAAGAGGTTTAGGCAGATCCCTACTCTGCCTTTATTCACCTTCTCAGAGTTGCTTTCACCCTACAGAACTGCAGTTAGGTTCTGAACCCTCAAGTAAGTAGAGACACTTTTACTTGACTATAAGAGCAACCCACCAAGGGAATGGAGAGCTCATGTTCCAATGCCAATGTCTCCGATACGCCAAGTTGCTATTTTGAGTATGGATATTCTTGTAGAAATATTCCTATGTCAATAGTCTCTTAACATTTTATATACACTGTGGGTTTAACAAGTGTCTTAAGGTTGGCATAGGGAGTAAGTATCCCCTTTTGAGATTTGTTGTGAACCTTTAGAACAAAGCCTATTTTTAAATTGGAGTCTAACTTTAATAATTTTTGAGATGATGATTCACGCACACACAGAGCAAAAATAAAAGTACTGGTGATAAGCCCCATCTGAAATTCCACTTCATCCAACTAATTCAAGAAACAGGTATATTCATTACTCTGAATTTTAAAAACTTTCTTCTTTTTAAAAAAACAAAGTTTGCTTATCTAAAACACATTAACTGGACTTACCTCCAAATACTTAATTACAGATGGATTATAGTCTATGGTTTTTCGGTTTACTGCTTTTCTCATTCGTTTTCCATCAAAGGTAAGTTGTTGCATTGCTTGCTGTTGTGCAAAATCAGGTCGCTTATAAAACAGTTGTCGAGGCGCCTGGTGCTGGAACCTTGGCATATGGAAAAAACGAGGAGGAGAACCGATTTCTGTAGCCATGGTGACGCTTTCGTTCTAGGACACTAGGGTAGGGAAAAAGTAGTTTCACTACAAATATCAGCACTGCAACATTGCCTGAAAACATTTTTAAATGAACTTTTTGTACATTTCTCTTCCTTCCTATCTTATGCATCATTTCTAGCTTTTAGTCAACCTATTTACAAACTGAACTATTAGATTTAATGGCAGAGACCAGTTACACATTTGAAAAACAGCAATTCACAGAATAAGTGCTAACAAGCATTTATTGTAAAATTCAGCCTGGTGGAAGGAAAATCCGCAATTTATTAACAGTTTAGGATGAGTGTGTTGTGTGTTGTGCATGTGGAGGGGTGGGGGAAGAAACCTGATTGTTGACGTTTTTTAAATAAAGTTAAGTTTATCATAAGACCCCATTTTATGCAAGAGTCACTAAAAAATTTTAAAACCCGAGGTTAGTCCTTTTAAATTTTCTAGGATTAGTGTAGAAAGAGGAATAAACTATCTTATTTTATATAAATGCTAAAAGTATGTATATCTAATTTCAGGCTCAAAATAACGACCACAGAAACTTACTCCTCAGTATATTTACTTACATATTTATATAGGACACATTAAGTTAACTTCTGAACAGAAAAAAATATTAAGAGCTGACAGCTTTTCAACTTTAATGCTCTCCAATTAAACTTACATTCCAATAATACAAATATGTATGGTTTAAAAACACATTTTTAAGCATATTTTAAAAACCAGACCACGAAAAACACATAAAGGGTGTTGGAAGCATTTCCACAATTTTTTTTGTTTGTTTTAAAAGCAGCAAACACTGTACCCTCCATTATTTTTTTATATTCTTACATTTGCCTTTCCTCATTCAAGACAATAAATAAAGGATCTGAAAAGGAATTACGATTTCCTCTCGATGAAACTGTTCTTAGTACTACTTCCTTCACCCCTGTCACTTTAGTCTCTCAGGAAGCCATTTCCTAACGGCCACAGGGAGGAGGAGGGAGAGGAAAAGCGAAGGTCAGGGGAAAGAGAAGTCCTGACTGTCACGGTACCAAAACAATGCGACAGAATACCAACTTACTATATGCTATTTCCACTGCTCGGGAGCAATCCCAGAAGGTCTCCGAGAAATGTTAATTTGTAATGAGACAAGAAAGAGTCTGTCTCTCTCAGAGCTGTGTGTGAATTAAATTAGAATGTACAAAATACAGTAAGCATTTGACTCAGTAAGATTGAAGGAATCTGTTTACTCAGCTATCCCATGAATCCAACTGAATTTCAGCATCCAGATTTCAACTAATGGCTTCAATTCAGATGTCTAGACCAGGAATTTTAAAAAGATACACCTTTGAAAAGTGCATTTTAAAATTACTATTTTTTTCACTTTTCAATTATCAACTTTCTAATTTTATTAGAATAAAATTATTCTAATAGTCCAGTTTCAAATATTATTGATATCCAATGAGAATAAAGATTTTTACACATATCAAAAGAAGCTTAAAAATTATTCAGCCAAACAAAAAAAGGAATGAAGTATGACACATGTTACAACACAGATGAATCTTGAAAACATTATGTAAGTGAAAGAAGCCAGACACAATTAAGGTCACACATCGTATGATTCTACTTATATGAAAAACTCAGAACAGGCTAACACACAGAGACTGAAAGCAGTTTAGCGTTTGCCAGGGTGGAAAGGAGGAATGGGGAGTGACACTGACAACATGGTTTCCGCTGCAGATGATGAAAATGTCTGCAACTGGACAGAGGTGGTAGCTGCACAGCACTGTGAATGTACTAAGTGGCACTGAATTGGACACTTTCAAATGGTTAAAACAGTGAAATTTTATGTTATGTGACTTTTACCTCAGCTAAAGAATGGGGAGTTTAATCCACTGAAAGAAAATTTTAGATGGAGGGTAGATGAAACATTAACTGAAAGCTGATGGTGTTGAAATTGGGTGATGTGTATATGGGTACAAAGTACTAACCAAGAGCTAACTCAAGGATCTACTGTACAAATATGAGGAAAATGACTGATTTCAAATGCAAAACAATCACTATGTTTTACTAACATGCTTGAATAATTCATATGTTAAAGGTATAGATGGGAGAAAATATCTTTCCATTTACAAATTTATTGAGTAGAACTTGTTCTGAAAAAAAAGCCCTTTAATTTTTTCCTTAAATGGTCAAGTACTACATGTTTTCCAGAAATAAAGGTCCAACATGAACAAAAAGAAGGGGAAAAGTACCATTACATTCTTTTTTTTTTTGAGGAAGATTAGCCCTGAGCTAACATCTGCTGCCAATCTTCCTCTTTTTTGCTGAGGAAGACTGGCCCTGAGCTAACATCCATGCCCATCTTCCTCTACTTTATATGTGGGACGCCTACCACAGCATGGCGTGCCAAGCAGTGCCATGTCTGCACCCGGGATCCGAAGTGGCAAACCCCGGGTTACCAAAGCAGAACGTGTGCACTTAACCACTGCGCCACCAGGCCAGCCCCAGCACCATCACATTCTAACACAAGATCCAGCCCTAAAATAAACCAAAAACAAACCTGCTCACAATACAGTGGCCAGTCTTCACAGATGCCTTATATACTTCAGCTTCACTTCCTGCAAACTACTGTTACTTGCCCAAAGTTAAAACAGAGCCTCCTAGTGGCTGTTATGGGCTATGTTGTGTCCCTCCATAAATTTCTCTGTTGAAGCCCTAATCTCCAGTACCTCAGAGAGTGACTGTGTCTGGAGACAGCACCCTAATCCAGAGGATTGGCATCCTCATATGAAGAGGAGATTAGGACACGGACACCTACAAAAGGAAGGTCATGTGAAAACACAGTGAGAAGACAGCCATGTGCAAGCCAAGGAGAGAGGCCTCAGAAGAAACCAACCCTGCTCACACCTTAGTCTCAGACTTCTAACTTTCAAAACTGTGAGAAATAAATTTCTGTTGTTTAAGTTACCCAGTCTGTAGTACTCTGTGATGGCAATCCTGCCAGAGTCAGAGCCAAATACCTGGACCTCCTGCCTATCCCTCAACATGGGTTGCTGGAATAGTTCAGCAATAATGATGTTACAGCTTTCTCTGACTTGAGATGGCAGAAAACTCGATATATGAGGCTGGAAAATCAGTGACCCAGATAGAAAGAACCATCACCCAAATCATGAAAACTATCCTTCAGGCTTCACTCAGGACTCTACTTCAAGGAACTATATATATAACCAAATGCAGAAAAAGAAATAAAGCTTTTTCCTTCATACAAATAATTACTGTGATTTCTACTCACTGCAGTATTTACTTGAACTACATTAACAGAACATCACAATTTAAACTAGAAGTCAGGTTTGTTCCCCAAAGCATATTCATCTCACATATGCGGTGGAGGATGAAAGAAGGAGATAGAGGGGTTGCGGCGGGGGTGGGCAGAGAGAGAGAGAAACTGAGAGAAGACAATTTGCATATGGTTATTAAATACATACTAACAAAAAAAAACAAACTGCTAAGGAAAACTATTCACCTGAAACATTAAATTCATGTCTTTCTCGTACACATAAACCTTCAATGTTTCAAGCAATCAGCACAATTTTATGAAGTGCCTACTGTATATTACACTCTGCACCAGGTATCACATTATCATTCTGATTCACTGAATATCACTTCTAAATTCATGGAACGGATTTCAGACTTGGTGGTGTTTGGTCCCCTTCTCTATTTCTCCCAAATACAAAGACTCCTGAGGTGACAAAAGTTTGCAGCATATCCTTAGCCTTCCAGCTTTCAACTACTCCCTGTGGAGTCGTCTGTGGAACTAAGCAGTATTCCCAGACTTAGTTCTCCAACGTTTGTGTGCACAAGTCCATACCAGCATTATAATTCTGCTTCTTGTCCCAGCTATTTATAATGTTAGCCATATGATATTGCCAAAATTATAGTTGAATGTAGGAAAAAACCATAAATGCTTTTCTTAAAGAAGTCATTACAAATTTCACATTGTAGAATTGTGCTAAACAATAGCTCATTTTATTGAACCTAAACCTCTAATTAAAATAATAAAAACTGTATACACATAAGTGCTAACAAAGCCTCAAAAACTGGAGTAACAATAGTTGAATGAACAGGAAGGGATTCATGAGAGAGGTAAGACAAATTGGAAATTAAACAGAAAGAGTTATTAATATAGGATAATTAGGAGGCACCACCAAAATCACTGAGGCAGTTACTGGTTACTAGCCACGAAGATACACACACCTAAGAATTGTTAAAAGAGCTGAAAAAGCCCTGTGGCATCGGGAAGCATAATGAGAAATGCAATTCACTTCAAGAATTAATCAATGAGCACTAACTACCTGACAGGCATTGAAGACAGACACACACAAACACACACAGTCTGCTCTCAAGAGACCGTCAGATTATCAGAACAGAAGAGCTCAAAATGGAAACCACGTGTGAATCTCCTACTCCATTGAGAATCTACTGTTACAGGCAAGAGGGATGTAACAGGATGCTCACGGCACAATTCAGCCTTAAGAAGTTTACATTTGGGGTGAGGTGGGAGAAGGTGGGAGGAAAAGACAGTTTGAGGACAGAAACGAAATAACACTCTCTCTCATTCACTCAGCACGCCATGGCCAGCATAATCTTCTCCCGAACCAAAAATAATCCACAATAATCTTCCCCAACCAAATGTTTCTGACTCCATTAGAAAAATTTCACCATCGCAGCCAATCTCCAACTATAACAGAGGAGGGAAAGGTACATTTTTTTTATAGGAAAATGACCTTGCTAAAACTTGACTAATTCCACTAACTCAATCCAAAAGGAACTGACTAAATGCTTCACACAATTGAATAAAGAGATCCTTAAACTATAATTCAAGAGGGCAGAACTGAGGCTCTGCATCAAAAAACTCTATGACCTGAAGGGTCATAAATTGGCCTCAAGCAGTTTTTGCGTTTTTTTAAGCCAGAAGTCATATCCTACTTATGGTTCCTGAAATCACTGTGGCTGACAATCAGCATTACTTTAA